AGAGAAATTACTTCTTTACATTAATCACTGTATTACTTCATTTCATGTATCCTTCTAAAGCAATAGAAGGAAGCAGGAATTTTATGGTGTATGTTTATGGGATAGTAGATCTACTAGGCAGAATTGGAGACTTAAGTGGGGGAAGAATGATGTTAAAGAGGCTGTAGGCCTAGAAAGACAATCAGGGGAGAAGACCGAGCTTCGCATGTTAGTCAAGGTGTTAGGCAGTGACAGTTCTTCTGAACTTTCTTAAGAGGAGATAAAATGATGACCTAATGTTAGAGGAAGATGAATCTGGGGTCTGACACAAAGCTTTTTGTAACATCTCTACACATGTAACCTCTTTGATATTAATAGCTAGGGCATTCCATAGTGGAATCTAATAGATATACAATTGATGTCTCTGAGTTCTTGGTTAGTTTCCCTAATTTTTCTTGACCATCTACTTAAAAACTTTATTTGCTATGGATATATTTACTACTGAACTATTTATAGGCAAAAATCAAACTAAGCAAGGAATTCAACCCCTGGAGGTGGAAGTCAATTCAGGTAAAGCAATGAAAAAGTTTAAGAGAAGTGGTCACAGGAGCAGCAGTTTAGAATCACAGCACTCATATTCTGCAGTTTATAGATTTTTAGTCTAGAGGTAAGAGAAAAGTTACAGGAGAGAAAGGTACAAACAAACAAAAAAAAAAAAATGGGCAACAGAAAGAAAGGAGAAAAGTATTTAAAATATAGGCGGTTTTAGAACAGACTGTCAACAAGAGAAAAGCTCAGCATTGATCATGAACAAAAGGGATCTGTAAGATTCTAGCAACAAAAGAGAGGACAAGAAACTATAAGAAAAGAGAACAAGGCAGTAGAATGAGAAATTGACCTACATGCAACTTCATGTGAGAGTTTCAATTTCCTTTCAGTCAGATTGGTGTGAAAGCAAAGCACATCTGCTGTAGTTAGATTTATTTGTAATGTATTATTTTAACACTTTGAATAATAACAATTTTT